GAGCAGGAAGCTGAAGCTCCCTTGGGCCAGCTTTCCTTTTCTCTACAAAATCATGAGCAATGTCACCTTCTTGCAGCAAAGGAGTGAGCTTCTGGTTTGGAGTCTGTGGGAGGGAGCAAAAGCCACCATGGGCAATGCAGAGGACCCCGAGCAGGTGCAATGGACAGAAGTGGCTAGAAACACTGATGAGCTGTGTGAGATTGGTCATAAGCAATCGTGCACCAACTTGCGGCTGTGTGACCCCCTTCCCCCGGCCCTGACCACACTCGGAGGCTCAGAGGCAGAAATAAAAGAAATATGTGACTGGACGGATCCCACCCTACCTGTGTGTACAAGCGCACAAAGGGGGCATGCACGCATGTGACCGGCAGCAAAGGCGGGGGGGGTGGTGGTCCTGGGGAAGGGGTGGTTGCAATGGTAGTAACATGGATTGGACTGAATCAGCAGAGATGAGGACGGGCAGGCTGAGAGGGCCCAAGAATTCAGGGAAATGGATGCAGAGGTGCACGCGGGTAGGGGTTCGCCTGCTCTGCTCCCCGCTCTACCCTTAGCTCCTAAACCAACGCCCACAACACGGTCAGTGCCTGGTGGATATTTGTGCGTCGGTAACTGAACCTACTGCCAACAGTGAGTGTGCAGCTCAGTGTCCCCGAGGGAGGAAACTCACTCTCCACAGCTCGAATGAGAGTGGGTCCTGGCTCTCCAGGCCCCGTAGTGATGCGGCTCAGGGTGCCAACGGGACCGTGGAGTCTTCCTACGTGAGAGGAAAGAGCACGGTGCGGGGAGAGTGCCTTCCCACTGGCGTTCAGCAGACGGCAAGAAGTTCTCAAGTGGGGCTAACAACACATACCTCGGCTCTGAAAACTCCTGCTTCACCATGTGCGAGGCCCCTTCCTCTGCCACTATGGAGGTTCCAACCTGCCTCCAAGTTTTGCGACTGCAGGATGTTCCCCCGCCAATGGGGCGCTCTCCGCCAAGGCCACTCGGAGTTGAGTAGTGCCAGACCTGGAATGGCAGGCCTGGGAGGGCGACTGCTCTCCGCACCCTCTCTCCCGGTGGGGGTGCATCCGTGCCTGACGCCATCTCTGCGGGTGGACCCTGGTCCTGTAGCCGCGGCCAAGTGTGGAACATGAGACGGCCCAAAGTCACTGATCCTGACTTGGTGGCCTGTGGCCCGGCCAGAGTCTTTGAGAAGCAATCATGGGGTCGCATTTCACTTGTGGAAAGAGACGTAGCGTGGTGCAGCGGGGAGGGCCCAAAGTTTGGAGTCAGATCTAACTGAACAGAGGTGGCAATTTACTAGTGGTATTGGGAGGAGAATCAGCATGTTGGGCCTTCATCTCCCTTTTTTTATTTTTTTGAGATTTTATTTGACAGAGTGAGAGAGACACAGAGAGAGCATAAGCAGGGGCAGAGGGAGAGGGAGAAGCAGGCTCCCCACTGAGCAGGGAGCACAATGCAGGACTCGATCCCAGGACACTGGGATCATGACCTGAGCCGATGGCAGACGCTTAACCGAATGAGCCACCCAGGTGCCCCTCACACCTCCCTCTCTTTACCTAGGAATAATAATACCTGATTCAAGGGCTGTGAAGATTTACAATCATCCTGAATAATGGACGGATGTTTAGTAATGGATAGTTCCCTTTCCTCAGACCTTGTCCCTTTTTAGGTCATTATTAAGACTCTGAAGGCTCTGTGATCACTCCTGGTGATCTGACTCAGAAAGAGGAAAGGGGAGGTCGTTTTAGGCTAAATCATAGGTCAGTGAAGACGGATTTTCAGTCCCCTGTCCAGCCATGCTGAGAATACCCAGCAGCACGACACCAGCCTCAGGCCCTTTAGGATATGCTCAGAGGAGAAAGCAGAATTTCCTGATTTCAAATTCAAATTATTTAATATATTGGGGTCTTGTTTTTCATCATCGGTTGAATGGAGGTGGTAATTCTGCCCCCACTCTCACAGATGTTTCCAATATGCATTACAGCAAGAGAATATATAATTGCCAAATAGTAAGCCATGCTGGGATGGCAGCCCAAATTTAGATCCCCAGTGATACGGGGTTAATATTTCCACTGGATGAATTCCCAAATCTTGACTTAAGGCAGTCAGCCTTTTCCACGGTCTTTTATTGGGTGCTTTTATTCTCCGTTTCCACGAAGGCTAACGGTGCACGTGTTACAGGGATGAATCTACAGATGTTTAAACAAAAGGAGAGAGGCTAGGGGCGGCTAGAGAGACCACTTGCAGGCACGCACGTGCGCTGCTGGCTGGGCTGGGGCTGCTCCGGCCGTCGCACTCTTGTTGAGAAATGAGAAAGGTCAGTGCGCACATGGGGAAATCGCCCAGCCAGACGGGGGCTCCTTTATGGACCCCCGGCATTGTCCAAGGTCTGAGTTCTTCATGAAGATAATTCATCCTGCCATTCCTTTGGAGAAAATAGCCTGCGGGCACCCCTGGAAAGGCACCGAGGTATAAGCTGGGAATTCTACCCAGGCACCAAGGTAAAAATGCACAATTCACCTACATGAGAGCATCTGTCTCCTCTCTTGGAGAAAACAGACTCTTGGTGTTTTGCTTCTGTGTTGCTCAGCTGGCTGCAAAGTGGGGTCTGGGAGCGAGGATCCTCTGTGATGGGTGCCAAGGTGACACCCACCCTGGGAGGTGGTAATAGTTCAAGTGACAGATGATGGGGAGAGGGGAGGATAGGGCAGAAGGTGGAAGTAGCTGGAGAGAATTAACGCACCTAAGAATCTAGACTTCAAGGTTCAAGTCTACAGGACTGAATGGATAACGACATCACAGACTTGAGGGACCCCAGGAGGCCTGGGGAGGTCTAGATGAGTTTGGCTTTGGAGCTGCTGAGTTAGAAGCACTCAGGTGGCCAAGGCTGGACACAGAAACCCGAGCCTCTGCAGAAAGAGCAGCTTTTGCAATGAGCTACAGAAGGAGCTCCACCTTGTGACAATATTCTGCTAGGGGTCTGTCTCCAAATGTGGCCCGGGAGAGTTTTTCCCTGGGCGTGTTCTCCGCGATGCCTACTGCAGCCACCTAGGAAAACGGGTGGCAAATGGCAGAAGCATTCATTCCTGCTTCTCCGTATTGTAAGCCCGGGCCCTACCTCTGCAGCTCTCCTCTGTGTATCTGGTGTCACAGACAGAAGTCACGAGTGACTTGGATCGGCCGGCATATCCTCAGTGACAATTTCATGGCGCCCCAAGCTTTCCTCCAAGGCTCGGTTCCCAAAACCCACCAATAACTCAGCTCATAACGGACCCTTGCAAAAAGCAGCTAATATACAACCAGCCCAGTATTTTCTCTTCTTGATTAATGTTGGTGAAAAGCAGCAGGAAGGAGGGGAGATCCTGATGTATTATGGCAAGTGGACTCATCCACCTTTGATTACAGGTTAATGAAACTCTTAAATTCAACTGAGCCTTGCCCGATGTTGCCGCACCCCCATGCCCCCCCCACCCCCGGTGGAATTGTGAACTCTCCTTTATGCGGTTACCTTTCCATTTATCTGAGAAAATGGAGCCACCATTAAAGAGACTGTGACATCAAGATCACGCGCATCAGTAATGGAAATGGCTAAGATTAGCTCTGATAGGTTTGCAGCTCTTAAACAAATAAGAAGGGCATTAAAAGCAAGTTTAATTTTGCTCCGCCAGCAGAGGTGAAGATATATATGCTCGTCTGGGACATGGACCCTTTAACTCTTACTTAGGCTCTCTGATGCCTTCCATGGTATCAAAAGGGCTACGATTAAAACTGCATTCCTGGCCATGCTCTTTAGGAAGAACTCAACTGTGAGTTGTTTGTGGTCCTGCTCTTGAACTTGTTAACATATACATATTTTTAAAGATCTTATTTATTTATGTATTTGAGAGAGAGAGTGTGAGTGCGCGCATGACCCGGGGTTGGGGGGCAGAGGGAGAGGGAGAAGTAGACTCCCTGCTGAGCGGGGAACCCGACACAGGACTCGATCCCAGGACCCTGGGATCATGACCTGAGCCCAAGGCAGCCGCTTAACTCACTGAGCCACCCAGGCGCCCCATTGAACTTTAACATATTTTAAAAGGACAGGGTGCATGTATTGGGTAAGAGTGCTGGTGTTCGTTGGAAGATGGAGGCATTCGGGCCTAAATGCCCCTGCAGCTGTGCACAATGAAGGTTCTGCACAAAAACTGCCTGGTGGCTCCAAGGACGGGGTGCTCCGGGAGATGCTGGATCTGGACGCTCAGATCCTGGCTTTGCCCCTGAACCCAAGACACGAGCCCCCTCTCTGACTTGCCAAAACCTTCTGCAAATGAGGGAAAGTGGTAAGGCCGGCTGACTTCATGTTTGCAAATGTGAGCCGTGAGCAGCAAATTACATTCTCTGCAGTCACAGAATAAAACTTCTTATAATAGATTAGTGAACAGAAAATGCCCATCGTTTCTGGTATTTTATTAAGCTGTATCCTCCCTTCCTGGGGAATGCATTGAACGATGGTTTACTGCTGCATTTCAACTATTCCTATTTGGGATAAGATAAAATAGGCAAGTTTCAAGAGGCCAAGTGTCAGTTGTGAGAAAAGGAAAGAAGACTCAGGGCGCCTGGGTGGCTCAGTCGGTTAAGCATCTGCCTTCGGCTCAGGTCATGATCCCAGGGTCCTGGGATCGAGTCCTGCATCGGGCTCCCTGCTCGGCGGGAAGTCTGCTTCTCCCTCTGCCTCTCCCCCTGCTTGTGCTCTCTATGTCTCTCAAATAAATAAATAAAATCTTAAAAAAAAAAAAAGGAAAAAAGACACAGACATTTGTGATGTAGCTCCAAATGACCGCCACCAAAAATAATACTAATAACCCCAGGATTTGTGTTACTATAAGAGACTCAGTTTAGTTTGAGACAGATGGACCACAACGAACTTGATTCCCCTTTCCTGTAATCATGCTGCCCTCCCAGACTTCTTGACAAAGACAAAACAACGAAGCAAAAGGATGGACATGAGGTGTACGTACCTGACACAAAAGTATAAAACAACCGGTCCGGACTTTTTGGGGAACTCATGTTCCAATACTCTTCGGTCTAGTTGAAGCCAGTTTAAGTGTCCCCTGAGGAGAAGAGAGACAAATGGGTTAGGACTCTGGAGTTTGTGGAAGCTTCTGTGATGAAAGCATGTGTGCAGCAGAACATGCTGGATCACAGATCAATGTGGACCTCTGCCCCACTCCTAAGTTCTCAGTACTTGAAGAACTTCAAGGAGTTATCTGGGGGGATACTGAATCAGCGGCAGATACCATGTGACGTGAAGGAGAGGAATGACAATCAGAAAGTCTGGGGTTCGCGACCTGCTATCCATTTCCTCGATTGTGCTAAAATTAAAATGGAATCCTACCCTCTCTCTCGTCCTGAATTCCCTTACCACCACCCTCCTGAGTGCCTTTTTTCCTGAAGGACTCAAAACCCACTTTAGAAATGTTAGCAATCTTCACAACGCCTTGCTGGAAGCAGACAGGGTGAAAAGTGAATCACAAATAGTTTCTTAAAAAATGAAACTCACACCCACCATATGACCCAGACATTCTACGCCGAGGTATTTACCTGAGAGAAATGAAATCTTTGTCCATGCCAAGACTTTTTTACACGCAGATGTGCAGAGACACTACTTGTAACAGCTCAAAACTTGGAACAACCCAAATGTTTATCAGTAGGGGAATGAGCATGATATAGTTGTAGAATGGAATACTATCGCCCCAACAAAGACACTGAGCTATTGATACATAACATCAACATGGATGAATCTCAGAGTGATTATGCTGAGTAAAAGATGCCAGACAAAGGAGTACAGACTATAGGATTTCATCCATATGAAACTCCAGAAGGTGCAAACTGATCTGTCCTGACAGAGGACACATCGGCGGTTGTCTGGGGGGTGGGTGCGAGGGTGGGCTTTCGGTGGGACAAGAGGAAACTTTTGGGAGTGATGGATATGTTCATTATCTCGATGGTAGTGATGGGTTTCATGGGTGTAGACACAAGTCAAAACGCATCAAACTGTACTCTTTACTGAGTGTTTATAGTATGTCAATTTTACCTCGTCAAAGCTATTTTAAACAGTGAACCACAGAGACCTTTGATGATACACAAATGGAGTGGCTTGTGCATTTCTTCCTGCCCTCTCTTCTTTCCTTTTGTAAATATTAATTAATCGCCTTCTCTGAGAAAGGGTCTGGAGATGCAGCAGTGTACAAAATAGACATGATCCTGGTTTCCCTGAGCTTCTAGTCTTGTAGGTAGACAGGACACTCAACCCACAATTCCCACAATTAATGGCAGAATTACTCATCAGGGGGCACCTGGGTGGCTCAGTCGGTTAATCATCTGCCTTCGGCTCAGGTCGTGATCCCGGGGTCCTGGGATTGAGCCCCGCATCGGGCTCCCCGCTCAGCAGTAGGCCTGCTTCTCCCTCTCCCACTCCCCCTGCTTGTGTTCCCTCTCTTGCCTGTGTCTCTCTGTCAAGTAAGTAAATAAATAAATCTTAAAAAAAAAAAAGAATTACTAATCAGAATGGTATTAGGACCTAACACTTATGGTATAAGGACCATGAGTAATGAGAACATGTAAGGACCTGATTGAGTTTGGGGCTCAGAAGTACTGCCTGGTGTTTGAGATTTGAAGAACAGTGAGAGTTAACTTAGCAAAGAGAAGGGGGACTATGTTCTAAGCAGTGTGGCCAGCATGTGCAAAGGCCCTGAGGCAGGGAGAAGTATGGCATGCTGGTGTCGTGTGAGTAGAAAGAGATGAGGCTACAGAGGGCAGGGACCAGCTGCTAGGGTCTGGGAGGCCACATTGAGGAGATGGTCTTTGCCGAGTGGGGCAAAGCCACGGGGCAGGTATGAGCAGAGGAGTCTGCCTTTTCCTCTCCTCTCCTGACCCAATCTCAGTCCAGCAGCCTGGAGGGCCAAGCCCTATAATCACCTTTACTCAGGAAGCTCATGTTGAACAGACACAACTGATACACGAAGCCTCCTCGGGTGCCTGATGCTGTGTAACACGTTCATAACGTATACGCACGTGTGAAATGCTGGCATTGGTCTGTGGATAATGGGAGACAAAACTTGTCTGACTCACTGCATTAGAATGTTTGCTCCTCCAAGCACATGCTTGCCTCCAACAAATGCAAGACAGTAAACATGCTAGAGGTTTTCATCTCCACTTTAAGGCTCATTCAAGCTGCACCTTTTGCAGAAAATCCCTCTTTCAATGTGGCTCTAGAGATGGCATTTGGATCTGCTTCTGGAGAGTGTCCATCTGAGGAGCTCGGGTTCTTTTTCCTCCTCCTATGAATCTCCAACTAGAAAAACATTTTTTTTTTCTACTAACTTTACCTTTCATGTTTGGTTATTCTTCTCTGAATATAGTAAGGATAAAAAATAATGGGAAAAAAGGTTTTCTAAATAAACGACTGGATCACTTTCCTCCAGAAAGGTGGGATAAATTCCTGTCCAACTAGAACACGGGATCTGGAAGCAGAAGGTGCCAACTTGGTCTCTGGTTGTACTGGAAATGCCGAGAATGCCCCACAGGGTCATACTTTTTCAGACCTCTGTGCCTGAGCTCATGTTGCTCTCTCTGCCTAGAATGCCCTTCCCCTCCTTCATCACCAAGTGAAGCCTGACCCATCCTTCAAGACCTGGCTCTCTTGTGTCTCTTCCAGAAAGCGCTCCTTGACCCACCTTCCCACACCACACACCAGCCTGGGCTGGGCTCCTCTCTGGACCCTCACGGCACCCACCCCAGGCACACTGCTCCCACGCTCCCCACCATCCGTGGAACGTCCCCTGCGTATGCTTTCTGTCTCCCCAGTAGACCCTGTACATCTGAAAAACAGAGACCTACTTCATAAGGTAAAAGTGTGTGCTTGATCAAACGGAAGGTATTAACACAAATGTTAGCCCCAATTATTGGATAATAAATTACAGCCACTCTCTTCCTGCCTCTGAAAAGGTCCAAAATCTTCCAGAGCCTTCTCTTTAGGCTCAGCCTCTTGCACACATGCCCCATGCATGCTCTACGCTGTGCCTCTGATCATGCTGTTTCTCCTAATTGGAGTAGTCTCTCTTCCTCATTATCCGAACGCTAGCCATTGTTCAAGGCTGAGTTCCAGTCTTTCAGAGAAGTCATCCTTCATTGTCTCCATCTGGGGTTCCTTTCAAACTTCTCCAGGCTTCTGTGTGTGTCGTCTACAGAGCATTTAGCATATTTTGGACAATTTGTTATTTAAAGAATATAACCCATCTCTCTAAGTTGTTACGTTTTCAACACTTAAAAAAAAAAATGTCATCCCTGAACCTCGCACAGTGCCTGACGAGTGTTAGGTGCTCAAAAGGACTTGCTCATTGATCGGATGACTACCACCAAAAGCAGTAAGTGTATGCCTGCATCTCAATTTGCGAAAGTGACTGAGCGACAACACAGAGGTTAATGCTATTGAAAGAAAAGCTGAATGTTATCCAGAGCTTCCCCGGTGATGAGAGGTGCGCCACACTACACAGGGCCATGGTGGAAACACCAGTGTTGGTATGAGGCTGAGAAGGAATAAGGAGAAGGCAAAGGTCAGAGCCTTTACTGGGGTCTCCACGGGAAAGACAAGACAAGGCAGGGGAAACGGCATAGGGTTGGCTAGCTTTAACGACTCTGGCAGGCTTCCTGAGGCATAAGTAGGCTGCCCCCAGCTGTCCGGTACCTGGCCCTGAACTGATTAAGGGCCGGGGCAGCCCTATAGAGAAGGTGGCTCAGAGGATGGGCTCTGGGTCACAGGGGAGATGCAAACAGCTTCAGCTGTTCGTCTGGCTTTGGAATTCATGGATGCCAAGTAAACAGACAATCTGAGAAAACTCTGAACAGCAATCCATCCAATGACCATGCAGATTTAAATTTTAATCTCTTGCCTGATGATAATTTGTGATAAAGGGTCTGGTGGGAAGAACTTTTTTATGATTATCACAAGAGAAAGCCACAGCCCAGTCCAATGGCCCAACATTACTGACCACACGGACTGCTGGGGATTCGACCTGGGACTTGGGGGGCGTGATTCACTTGGTGAAGAACCTCCAGGTGGGGACACTGTGCATGAAGGGACACAGACATAGGTGTCCCTTGGATGCCACTCTGTTTGGGGTGCTCACTGCTCTTCTTCATCCACGTGAACAGAAGACAAGAATAGATTCCCTCTCTAGAGAATTTCATTCCCCACATTAAAATTTTTTTAAAGATGGGCACTTGGGTGGTGCAGTCAGTTAAGTGTCTGACTCTTGGCTTTGGCTCAGGTCATGATCTCAGGGTCATGAGATTGAGCCCCGTGTCAGGCTGTGCTCAGTGTGGAGTCTGCTTGAATTTCTCTCTCTCCCTCTCCCTCTGCCCCCCCTCAAATCAATAAATGAATCTTTAAAAAATTTAAAAAAATTTTTAAAGAATGACAGTTTCATAATAAATGTATTTAACTGGAAATTCCTTTGTTTGCAGCCACATATTGGTTTAGCATTTACCAAATACTGAAATATTTAGACAGTGAGAACATGATCAGGAAGCAGAGAGAACCAGGAGGCCAGAATCACCCCAAAACAGCTAGCCTCCCAGGAAAAATGAATTTCCTTTCTCCACTTCCTCTGCTTGAACTCCTCAACCCCCAGCTGAGGCCTGTGAGGGATGGCATGACGCACACATGCGTGCAGGGTTCTGACAACCATGGACAGGGAGACTCCCCACACCCGGAGTCCTGAGACCCTCGGGTGGGAGGAAGTGGCCCCCTCCGTTTTGCACGCCTGCAAAAATCTCTTCACCGCAGGCTGCTCACAAAGGCAAAGACCAAAGGGACAAGTGACTCATCCAAGGTCTCTTATGAGAACTGCCTGATATCTGGGCAAAAGCTAAGAGATGGACTGAAATGTCAACTGGAAGCTCCAGTACTTTGGGATTGTTAAAATATTGTCTGCTCCTTGTATGTGGCTCCAAGTCACATCTGCTACAGCCAACAGTATCAAGGGTCCCTCACCGCACAGGACGCTTCCTTCCCTGCGTCACACCCCACGGTCCCAGCACCAAGTCCCTT